TATTAAATTTCCGATGCCAACTTAACCCTGTAATATTTTGTAACGGAGGCTGAAATGTTATCTGCTGTGTAAACACAGATGTCTTAGAACAAAACCGTATCGAAATATATTTAATAAAAAAATATAATAACAAAAACACTAACGAGGTGGTTTTGCGTTCCACGACTTCACAAGTTCCAACAAAATGTCCGTTGTCATCGTTTGTCTGATATGTCTGTTCGGGGTATTAGCGATTGGCGAACACGGTAAGACACGAGAAGATCTGGAGGAGACTTACATAAAGTTACAGGGTCTGGGCACAGGCTACCAAATCGAGAAAGTATACACCCAGGACGAGTTGACGGAATGCAGCGTGCCTAAGATAGAAACAATGATACGGTATCTGTTCGATAACATCTTTTGCAGCTATATGTTCATGGCAATACACCACCTACGTTTATTGGAGTACTTTGTCCGCCCATTGCGAAAACAGAGCATACCATGTACTACAATGTTTTTCGAACAAGCCCGAAAGATGCTTACAGTAGCGTACTCTTACAAGGACATCTCAGACGAAACAATGCGAGCTATGTGGATAGTTTACACATACGAGCTTTATCTGGAATCGGTGTGTACCAATGAAATTAAATTGTTAAGTAAGGGTGACTTTTTGGACGCCCATCTAGCGGTCATGGCTAAGCTGCAGGAATTTACAAACGGCAATTGTAAACAAGAAAACATTTACAATGGCTGGAACAAGAAATCGAGTTTCCACAAACAACTGTTGGAGGTTTCTAAACACGGTTTCCAGTTCAATTACATCAGTCAAAACAGAAATAGGATCAACGACTATATTGATCATCAGCAGCAAGCACTCCGTCTGACCGACAGCGACGAAAAACGGTTTTCAAGGAGTGCGATTGTCCTTAATTGGCTTTTCGATCGCGATGATATAATGATCAATCTTCTTTGCAACTTCGGCGATCAGGTTGCCGATCCTAATGAGATGTTACAGCTTATCAAAGAACAGTTCTCAGAGGTTATGAGTCAACAACGGCTGGATGGATGGGCAGAGCGGTTAGGTGATTTCCTACAGAAGTTCATGCATCTTTTAAAAATCATTATGTTGCGCATTGTTTGCATGCATATAGTGCGTCTGGAGTACGTCTTATGCCCTAAGTATAACTGTGCCTGGGTGAATTTGTTTACGCCATCGTTGCTGTTACACAGCAGCAAAGCCATGTCGACCCTATTGATTGACTTCGTCGGATATATGGACCTAAACGATGACCATCACTTATGTTTTGTCGTCGACTTGTTTTCCAAGCCAATGCTACATCTTTTATCGAGCCATATGAGACAAGCAATTATTAAAGAAATTAGAAATATAATTAACGGAATAAGTCAAGCGTTTCCAAGTTTAAACATTTTTTGCCCGACGAAGCTAGAAAATACATCCAATGCAAATTATATAGCAATATCAAGGATGGCCAAAATAAAAGGATTGGAAGAAATTAAATTTGACAAGAGTATAAATAATCAGATGATGAGGTACAGTTTAAAAATAGCCTATTACTATGTTGAGTACATAAAAAAGATATTGGACGACGTTGAAATAAAAGTGATAAAATCATTTATCAAATTTACAAGAAACTTAGAAGATATATTCGTAAAATAAATGCTACAGTGATGTACGGAAATCACTTAATTACAATTTATAGCAAGTATTCTTACACATATTAAGTATTTATTTTAATTATTGTTGAAAACTAATTAGTCTTTTATCCAAATTGTACAAGAGTTAATGTGTGTACCTAAAGTCTAAGTTTCAAATCATACTTCTGGACTATGTTAAGTCCAGTTATTACGAAAAAAAAATATATATATTATATTGATAAAATAAACGAGATAAAGTTAAAAAATTAGAGTTATAACGTTTTAAACGTTTTGTTCAAAATATTAGTTTGTAAATAAAATTCTTGCCCTTACTGTTGATAACTTAAAATTTGTGTGATACCTTAGATATTCCAATAGCTATCTTTGTCAGAATTGAAAAACTGTTTTCCGTTTATTGTCAACACAATCGCTAAAATTAGTTGCTTGACAATAAGCCATGTTATTTGTCTAAGCTATGAGTTTAAGGTTTTTTGATTTATTGTCTCACAACAAAAAATTATCACTTGATCATAAGGCAAAGAGCGTGGGATCTATTTCCAAAGTTACCTTTATTAAACTGTTTATTACACGATACAGATGGTTCGACAATTTGTTATAAATCTGTGCATCGCAATAATGGGTTTTTCATAAATTATAAATCGGTCTTCGTTGGGTTTGTATATAATAGGCATGTTATACAAGAATTATAAACACCGAACGTGCCTAACATTTATCAGCAAAAATTTAAATAAACAACAGAACTGTATAAAATAATAAAATTCAACAGCGTATAGCTGAACTATATTATGTAAACACAGGTACTCGCTCGCCGATAGTGTACTAAATTATTGAAAAGCTGTATCGACCAAAATGAATATTTTTTTGGTAAAAATGCTCACATCTCTACTCGTAACATACAACTGCTATCAGTTTTATATTTAAAAGAAAGAACACTACAAATAATTTCACAAATTAACATAAACGTGTAGGTTAGGTGAAAAGTAATTTTATATAAAATCTACAAATACAATTAATAGGTATATTTACTGAAGGATAATGTCAAAAAGTCACTGAACAATAATTACTCCGAACAAAAACGTGTAGCCACACTTGCTGTAAATTGCAGTTAAGTGATTTTCGAAAGTCGCCGTAGCATTTATTCTGCGAATAGATCCTCTATATTTCTGGTAAATTCGACAAATGATCTGATCACACTTATGTCAACGTTGTCCAACATCTGTTTTATGTATTTAACATAGTAATGGGCTATCCTTACACTGTTCTTCATCATCGGTGTATTCATTTCCTTGGCAAATTGAAACGTCGATAGTTTCCTATCTTTGGCCAACTTATCTATAGTCTGATAATTGTCTTCTAACATTCCTATCAGCACCGTTGTGGGTGACATTTTTAAAAGTGGAAACGCTAACGGTTGTGTGTTTATTATATTCACGAGTTCGTCGATGATCGCATGTCTCATTTCTGCTGTGACAAAACTCATCAACGGTTTGGAAAAAATGTCTACGACGTACTTAAAGTGTGGGTCTTTGTTTAAGTCCATATAATCGACGAACTCTCCCAGTACAATCGGTATGTTGTTGTTGCTTTCGAGCAGCATTAACGGCGTAGACCACCAGTCAGAGCCAATGATGGTACTTAAGACGTGTTCCAGACGCACTACATGCATGCAAACGATGCGCAACATTATCATCTTTAAAAGATCCACGAACGCATCAAGAAAATCGCCTAACCGCTTTGCCCATTGATCCAGCCAGAGTTGGCTCATAACCTCGGAGAAGTGTTCTTTGATAAGCAGCAATATATCAACGGCATAAGCTCCCTGCTCGCCGAAACCGTGAAAGAGATTCAGCACTACTTGATCGTTTTCGAAAAGCACGTTCGGAAAAACCACTGCCTTCGAAAACCGTTTCTTGTCGTTGTCGGTCAGACCGAGTGCTTTCTGCTGATCATGAATATACTCGTCGATCATATTCCTGTTAATATTGATATAGTAGAACCGGATCTGCTCCTGGTTCAGGCTTAGAATTAGCGACTTGAGTTGTCTGTGGAACAACGTTGGAGGGTCAGACTCGTTATAGCCATCGAAAATGCTGTTCGGTCTACAATTTGGTTCTTTCGTGGATTCCTGTAGCTTTGCCGTGACCACGAAATGCGAATCCGGAAAGACGCCCTTGCCCAATTTAATTTCTTTCATACAAATCGTTTCCAGATAAAACTCGTAAGTGTAAATGAGCCACATCGTTTGCATCATTTCGCGTGAAATGTCCTTGTGAGTGTACGCCACCGTGAGCATCATTTGGGCTTGTTCAAAGAACAACTTATCGCAGGGGATCTCCTTTAGTTTCGGTCTGCTGACCGAGTATTTAAATAAACGTTGGTGGTGTATAGCCATGAACACGTAGCTACACAAGATGTCTCGGTACAGATCATTCGTCATGGTTTCTATCTTTGGCACGCTGAAATTCCTCAACTCGTCCATGGTATATATGTACTCGGGTAGGTAGCCTGTGCCCAAATTTTGTAACTCTATGTAGGTCTTCGCCAGAGCTTCTTGAGTTTTACCGGTTTCGCCGACCACTAAATTCAACAGACATACCAGGAAAACGATGACAACCGACATTTTGTTAGACGTGCGTGTTAACGGTGCCAATACTTAATAATGTGGAAAACGCAAAAAAAATCCTAGTAAGTAGTGTAGACTTCTTGATGGTATATTGTTATGTTGTTTACATCTATTTTATATACACAAATTGTTTTTAGTTTCGTGACATCTGGGCACACACAGTAGCGTTTTTATAGTCGGTAGCACTCCATTCTCGATACAAAATACAACAAGCCGAGTTAGGTATTAAAAATAATATTATGCGATTACTAATATTAAACAATGATTCTATCGGAGGTATACTGAATTTTTGGATTTCGCATAAGCAGAAATTATATTTTAAATAGTGCACGATAAAAATGTATACGTTTTTTAAACACTCGGAGATACTTATATTTTGTTTGTCGGTAGACTTTTAGCCGTATGGTATTCCTATTAGCACCCGTCAATTGTGGTTGCAGTCAACCGGCATTATGAAACGAGACTCTTCACGAGGCGAGAAAAGTATACTTTTTACCTTCGGTAAAAAAACAAAATCGCATTATCCGTGATAAATTGAATTCGCATAAACGCAGTCACGTCGAATAAAGACAGACAGACAATACGAAAACGGGACTTTTCCAACGTTGTGCGCTCTTCTACAAATTTGAATGGGATGTGGTGGGGGGGGGGGATAATATTGGATGTAAAAATAAAATTATGAAGATTTTCGCGCATTCTTTTTTTTTGTTGAGATTTTTACCTTAAACTCGTTGGTGGCGGGATCCATGTCGAGCAGGGAATAGTCGGCAATCCGGTCGCCGTTGGCGTCGATGTTGACGTCGCCGGTGATGCCAGTGAACGTTTTATTCCACATGGCCTTAACGATTGCCGCCCCGTCCGACTTATTGCCACCCCTGGATAGGGTCTCGTTCAGCGCCAGACCGTATAGGAGAACGGCGTCGTAAAACGATGTCACGAACGTCGATACCGATTCGTTTCCGAACGTGAAGTTGTACTTTTCTTCCGCCACACGTTTCACCTATTAAACACATAGTAATAATAATAATAAATGTACTTTGAGAGGAGGAGGAGTGGCCGAGTGGGTAAGGCGGCAGTGTGTTAGCGCTCACTGTCGCCGGTTCGACACTCGGTCACAGGCGCTCCGTTTGCTGGGCGAGCAATCGTTCGGTAAAGAGGAACCGCCATCCCCCTCTCTGGCGACGGATTGACGACCCGTCCCGGAAGCGAATTCGTCAAGAAACTATCTCATGATGGCAGCGTTGGGCCTTCATTGCCCGTTAAGCTACATGATGATGAAATGTACTTTGTCGTCGAAATGTAATAACACAAATTTCATCCTATCCTATTGTTATCGTCACTTCTCGACACAAAAGTTCGTGTTATCTCATTTTTTTTGGCCAAATCAAGTTAGACACAATCTAATATATAAAGGTTTTAAGTGCATAAAACTATGGACAATAAACAAATTATACCTAAGAAAATTTATCAATACAGGTGTTTCATCGTTTAGAAGTCTAACGAGCAACAAATAATTTTAAATAAAAAAGCGCGGATAACAAAAGTAAAGGAAACGACAACTTGCACTATTGTCATGGTTTGTTAGACAGAAATCCCTAAGGTTTTATGGCTACATCACAGGGTAGTGTTTGTAAGCCCCTCTTGAAACGTCTTTTGAGCGTTGAATAATATGCTGGCCACTCAAGAACCAGCCAACTAGACATTTTAATTTTATTAAAAGCAAATATATTCCGTTGTAAACCTTCGCATTAACAGAGTTATTATAATCCTGTTTAAAAAATAACTTCTTATATTAACATTAACATTTGGACGAGACATTAATTGTTTTTGGAGGAGGAAGGGGCGGCGCTGAATAATACAATCGATATTTCTCATTTAAGTCCTTTTTTTTTAGTTATGAATATTAAAATGTCTCTTAGTTGTGTTGGATTAACTTAATCGTAAAATAAAAAATGATTTCAGAAAAAGGGAACACGTGTATCCTTGGTCTTTCACGGTACTTAGCTTGGACGTTTGCATTCTGAGAAAAATCGTACAAGTAACTCCACACAGTAAATTGTGAAACATCCGTCGACTTCTTTTACTTAAAAAAAAAAAGTTTACATCAAATTATATGTCCCATTTAGTGAAGTTAATGCAGACGGTAAAAGCTAGTTAATATATAACTCCCAATAGGAATACCATTTAAGTTTTCTTTTTCGTATTCAAGAGGAGATTTTTAAATCCATTTATTCATTTTGTCCGTCCGTATAATATTTTTATCAAATCGGTAATAAATTGCTTTTGCTGATTAACTTAGTTTTTCGACGGTATTTGTTTTCTTTTAGTTTGGAAATTATTTAGACAAATACAATTCATCTCTTTTTGCATTATACACAATTCAATCCATAAAAACATCAGTCTGTATAATACAATTTGACCATATCAGTGTGTAACACATTTGTTTTTTTTATTAATCGTATTAAAAGAAGTAAGATACTAAAGTATAAGCTACAGAACCATTTATACCGTGTAAGTATCAGGGTTTTCTTTTGACTTACAATTAGACGTGGGGGAAGAGGTGAGAATGTACCGGATTTTCGATGATGAGTTTTTGCTTTACGAGTATCCCAAGCACTAAGGTTTCCAATTTCGTCGTATTGCTTTAATTTAGACTAATGTCTAGATGTGTCAAGTCTTTTTATTAGAATAAAAAAGTGATTAAACTTCATGGTTGGTCGAGCAAACGAGGGCGATACTTAATACATCTGTATAAGATAGCAAAACGAAAAAAAAACAGTTATTTCTTTAACTTTGTTGACACACCATAACGTATGACTAAATAATAAAATGTGTACAATTGTCAATCGGCTAACAGTTAATAATAAACGATGTAAGATAAATTTATAACAAGTCAATGGCACATTGACAAGTTCTCTAAAAAAAAATATATACATAGATAAAATGTTCATCTGTGATAGACTAAAAAACAATCCATTTTGAATTAGTTAAAATGAGCGAAATTGGAATAAATGAACTGCGTTTCCGAAAAACGATTTCATTGTATACCATGCTTAACAGTTAATTGTTTAGTTTTCAATTGACTACTTGATTAATTCACCAAAACTATTCATGTGCTAACTATATAATGCATATACATATGGAATTCTGGAATGTTATGGAATTCTACAATCGATTAAGTTCAATAATAATAAATAATTAAAATTAACTGGAAATAAAGGATAATAATTATATCTACAGGTCTATCAATTGCTTAGGCCGTTAAACATAACCAAACGAAACAATAACAGCTTTGTAGTAACACTTTGTTTATACTTTAATCGTTGAAAATGTCCAAGTTGCTAAATGTGGTAAAGAAATGAAATAATTAAATTCTTAAACAAACCCTTAAACATAAAAATAATACTCTTAGTATGAGTGAATGAACGGTCAATAGGTATCCGTAAAAAATGTTCATTCTATTTTGGTAAAAATTAGAGTAGACTGAAATCAATACACACATGATCTAAGTACACAATATTTTTGTCGACCAATATTGACTGTCTAATTTTCTCATTTATAAAAAACACATTTTTTCAAAAAAATTCAATTCGTTCATATATTTAGTGTTTTTTTTAACGTTATCTTTTTATTGTAGTTAGTTGTATGTATCTTATTTTTGGTATATTTTATAATGCTATACATTTTTAGGGACGGGTAAGTACAAATTGAATGTTTCTTTTGAATTTTTTTGTTTGTTTTTTGACTCACTTCTACAGAAAAGTTTCGGTACGCGTCGTTGTTGGGCGTACGTGCCGTCACTGTGAGCAATGCCGTGTACGCCTTTTTTGCCCTCTCATTCCGTTCGGCTGTATCATTGCTCACGTACCACGGCGTTAAGGATCCGTTGTTCATACTGTCCAACAGAAAAACAAATTATATAATTTACAAACACACATACATACATATATATATGTATAATTTAGGGTGGTTCTTATTTATACGATTTCCGAATTTCAATTGTTAATCCAATCCTAATCATTCCCTGTGACGAGGAGGAGTTTTCCGTTTAAAATACATGCAATTTCCCCATTTTAACTTGATTATTGTATCATAAGGGCCATTTTTTTACGCAATCAATTTATTTTACATGAAATTTACAAAAAAATATATGGGTAATTTTATGTATTTTTTACACTGCACAATTACGATTTTTAAGCTCTTTTTTTACTGAAAAATAGAAAAAAATGAATTTTTACATACAATATTCTAAACGTTTTCAACATTCATTTAAATATAAACCATTGAGTATTTCACAACTCTATCAAAATAATTAAACTACATTTTAGAATAAAAAATATTCATTCTTAATAACAAAGAAATTCAAATTAAATATTTGAGTCCTTAGTGCCATTATTTAATAATAACTTTAAAAACCGTTACGTTTTATTTAAAACCAAAATTATTTTTTATGATTCATTTACAGACAAAAAGATATATATTTATATTCATATCTAAAACTCTGAACTAAATTAGTAGTACAAAAAATTGAAGAATAAAAATACTAGCACGCTAAATTTTTAGTAGAATGTTAAAATTATTGAAATTTATTGAGTGCTTACTTTAAAAATTCTTTATAATCGTTTCTTTTTAAGTATCAGGTATCAGGAAATACCTTCCGGAATTCCGACACAATCTGTATCAAGTATGGATTTGATCCTCATTCTTTGTTATTTTTTAACTATTAACGGTACTAAGCAGAAGTTAACATTTTTTTTACCTAAAAGCACGAATTAAGATAATTTAATTCATGCTTAAAAGTAACACTGATCCTCGACAATTTCATGTAAATCAAATGTTTTTCGTCAATAATTTGCCCTTGTGATACAATAATCAAGTTAAAATAGGGAAACTGCATGTATTTTAAGCGGAAAACTTTTCCTCGTTACAGGGAATGATTAGGATTGGATTAGAAAGTTCAACACACACACACACACACACACCTTCGACAAAATATTGTCTAAGGTCGAGAACGCATTCACTTGACCAACACAAACAACGCTATGAAATGATACAAATAATTTGTTTAACAATCGCGTTGGCCGTTGCTCATGACATGTGCCAGTTTACAGCCTCACTTGAATTTATGTAATTTTTTTTTTCTATTACAAACTACTTGGTAAGTATCAAAAAAGCAACAATCGGATATTAGACAAATACAAAACGTGATTTTGCAAGTGACAAGGCTTTTGTACCATAACATTTTGCCTGCTTAACACATCTCTTTGTGCGTGAACTCAATGTATAAGCAATCGTATCCAGCTGTTACTTTGAAGTTACAAAAGTCAGTGAATTGTTATGAAAAAGGGTCTTTGGCAAAGGGCATGTCTCGAGAGGTACACACAATCAAATGTCATTACATCTCGGCCATATTAAAATAATATGTCTTTTAAGAAGCCTCGAGAAAAATTATATTAACAGCAAAAAGGTTTTCTCACTTCCTCGATTGAGTAATAATATTCTTTCTAGTCAAAAGAAAAGCTAAAACCGGTGGACAGTTGTGTGTATAGAACAAATTCAGTAAATGGTGCAAATATATCAATTTTTTCCAAAAAAAATGAAATCGTTAAACACGTTTGAAATTATACTTTTTATGGTCGTTAAAGGCTAAAGGGTCGAATTCACCCGTTGCTACCAAACTTGCTCAATGTGTGTAAAAGGTACAATAACAGTAATATATATTTATAACTTTTATGTAATGGGCTGTCGCATCAATACGCTGCCAGTTGAACACTGGCTACACCCCAGCAAAAAAAAAAAAACAGGTGTGTTTGATCAATTATCATTTCTTGAAGGAACAAAAATATATATTTCTAAGAAAACTACATTCGTGGGAATTAAACAACAGTCTCGCACTACCCAGTTATTTCCCCTTTTCTATTGTTCAGTTGCTATAACAAGTAGGGTTGGGACTAATAGTCGGATTTTGCGGATATCCGGATTATTTGATATCCGGATAATTCGGATACGGATATCCGAAATTCGGATAATTTTGGATATCCGGATAGTTTCGGATATCAAATAATATTTAAAATATCCGCAGAACCAAAACTATCCGAATAGTAAAAAATTATCCGAATAGTTTCGGATATTCATTTAATTTTTAACCAGCCGAATATATTTTTTTGAGTACTCAAATTTATGTATTTTTTGAAATTTTCACGGGTTGAAATATCACGTGGATGATTTTCAGATATATCCGTGTCAGTGGTTATTAACCGGCAGCGAAACAGTCGTGAAAACCCCGAGGATGGACTCTGCAAAGAGTCCGAATAGTTGGTTAACAACCACTGACACGGATATATCTAAAAATCATTCATGTGATAGTAAAATTTAATTAGGTGTCATTATTTTATTATTCGGTATGTTTAAAAACACTGTATATTATTAAGATATATTTGTCTTATAAAAATGAAATGAATATCCGAAACTATCCGGATAATTTTTAACTATCCGGATATCCGAATATCCGGATAGGCCCAACCCTAATAACAAGTATAAAAAAATCGTGGCTGCTGACCATGTTGGTAACAATCGTTTTGACCATTGAAATGTCTGACGAGCAGCAAAAACCCTTTATTCATAAAAACAAAAATGAATTAATGGGTTTTAGAGCAAACAGAACTCATATTATAAGGTCGTCTAAGACCAAAACCAAATTCAAGGTACGCAGCAAAACGTTAACTAGGAATAAAATTTAAAAAAAACAGTATTGATTTTACTCTTTGTTTCACATTAGTGTATGTAATTATTGTATGTGTTAAATGATATTCATAGAAAAGAGCCAAAAGTTAAAAACCCAAAACCGTATTAAATTATTTTCAGCTCAAACTTCTCTAATTGTACATTATGCACGTGCCTTGCTAACCTATGCAAACAGTTCACGTTACATATGCCGTCTCCTAACCATACTTAGTTAAGCCTTTATTCAATGTTTCCATTAGCCTGCGACCGCATACTCTTTTGATTTATAAGTTGTTTTACCGTGTTAAGTGAAATTATTGCAGAAATGGTTCGGTCGTTAAAAGTTAGGTACAATTTAAACCTTTTAAGTCGTACACGGCAGTGGCTGGTAACACTTAGTTGTCTTTTTTTCGTTTTTGATAAAATAAAACTACTTGACGTTTTCGCAAAATGTTTTCGTAAAACTGTCAAACTAAATAAAATCCATTAAAAAGTTCAAAGTTACAGGAAAGCGTTTAGTTAAATTTGTATTAATGACTTAAAAGTATGCGTCACGGGCAGGGTTATATAGTAAGGGAGAGGGGGACACTGAAAACCTTAAAACTTAAGAATAGCGCTTTTCAAAATATCTACGTTTAGGTATAGTAAAAAATAAATATGTAGCATCGATTTTAAATTTTAAGGTTTTTAAAATCCAACTAACTATTTGATTCTTGTTGTTAGTTGATAAACAGTGTTTATATGCGGTTTAACTATGTATTATTAATACAATATAAAAATATACACTGCCTAACAGAAACCGCGTTGTCCTCTTAGAATTTTTCTTCTCTTTTAACTCGTTAGGGGAGGGGGTGGGGGTTTGACATGTGGGTCTCAATTACTATAAGTTTCCCTTTTTCCTCCTTTTTTTTTTTTGCCTCATGCAAGCATTCCGAACGAACCGCTGTCACGCGTCGACAAAAACCCCTCCCTCAAGTATATTATATATATAGTGAAGAGTACAAAGGGAAAATAGAGACGGAAAACGTTTCACCGTTGGTCGACGTTAATAATATAAATGTGGTTTTCGTTTTAAGACCAGATGTATATGAGGCAAAGAAAAATAGGGGCAAAAATAACAAGTCATTTTTTACCGCCCCGCTGCCGTCTGAATCCGGCAAAAACCACGAGGAAACCATTCAATATATATTTTCTCGACGTCCTTCACATATTAAGAAATTATTATTATCTACTATGCCAATCTATGTAAGCTTATAGAATTCATATTCTGGACAATGAATATTTTCATTTCATATGCTATTTTTATTACAATACAAATATAAAAATTCTATAAACATATGTAAATAAGTAACAGCAAGAAAATTGTATTCTATACACACTATATATATATAGCTGGGCCAATTTAAGATGTTATCAATTTTTCGTTCAGAATCCGTTTTCACTTAACCTTTCAAATTTTGTTTCCTTTTCTATTATACACAAAAAAACTTTTGAAATATGTAGGTATATTTACTTGTGCAAGTATACCTTAAGTCGAAAGTTCAGTATTTATGTGTCAAGTGTCAACGGGTACATAGATTAAAGACCACAAAAGTCATTATTAAACCATGTACACTCGTTTTTAATAAAATGCCAGAAGGAAAAGAAATCACAATTTTTTTTTAGGAATATTGCGCACGCCTAAGTGCGTTTTATAATATAACGACAAACAAGTACAAAAGCCTTTTTTAACACTTCATTTAACCTTACAACTTTGGCGTAGCATTAAATGGACTACATTTTTTGATAAATTTTGAAATTACAGAAAAATATTTTTAAAAATGATTACTTTATAAACGTTTTTAACGTTCTTTTTGTTAACTTACTGAATGGAAAAAAAATATTGCTGATACTTATTGCCTACTCGTCAAACCTACTAATTTCTAATTAAAAAACAAGTTTCTAACAAAACTGTATTTTTTCAATTATTTTCAACGTTTTAAATTATGCTTTAATGGAATATACGTCGTATTTTAAGTGCAATTAGTTTTAAGCAATTATTGTATGTAATATGAGTGTAACAGACTATTTTAGTTAGAAAAATATATATTTAAAATAATGTTTAATATAATTCATGTATAATATTACCTGCTAAATAGCTCAATGTTGAAGAAAACGTATTCGCCACTGTCAATCATGTTTAGTTCTTCAGCAGCCAACAGTATTTCTCTCACTGTCAATGGATTAGCACACACCACCATAACTAAAACAGAATATAGTTTTGAATTTTAACCACGGTTATAAAAAGTCCAACGCCATAATAATTAATATAGTATAGTATAATGCACAGAGATAACTAGTGTTTTAATGCCAAGTTTAATACAATTATCCTTGGTGTGTGTGCTAGCGAAGTTGACCGTTTCGATTCACTTCTGTTGTCAATTATTATGATATTATAATCCATCTAAAGTTTACTAGTGCTTCAACAATAATTGATTGATCGAGTACAGCACTTAGACACCAGCTGTTGCCTACGACTAAACTACATCATCGACGGGGATTTAGGTATAAATTACAAATATGAATGACTTGTCTGTGCGGTCTAGTAGACCACATTATCATTTTATGCAACTTAGAACTTGTACTTAAGTAATAGCTGTCGGGGTTTAGAAGTTTCAAACATATATCTAACCGATAAATGTTGGATTATTTTCACAAGTGTTCTTGATTGGCACACATGTCACGCGGTGCAACACATAAAAACAATAAATCAGATCTATAGTAAACATAATATTGACTTTATTCAAACTATAAACTTGACTATACAACATCAATACGATTTTAGACATAACTTATCCGTGAATTATATAATAAACACACATTTAAAATAATAATATTATGGCGATTACAACATAACTTGAAATACAAATAAAAAATATCAGTTACATTTCTTGATGTTATTTCTTTTTCTTCAGTCGTTATTTAATCAAATCCCTTCACAGCTGTTCTGGTACCTTGGGGATGTTAATACAATTGAACACCCAAAACTACATATTTTTTAATAAAACCCTGTCAGTTTAACCGTTGCGTTCCGTTTACATTGTCGGGTTTTTTTATAAGCCTTATTCATATCTACATAAATAATTAGTAAATATCAGCGGGTGGGATGTACAATGTACAATTCAATACAAATAAACCTATCCGCATAGCGTTATGTTAATTTATTCTCATCACAATACAAAACCGTTCGACCAAATGGCACTTTATTGTGTAAAATTTAGTCAATTTAGATAATCAGCCGTTGTTGCATTTTTCCAAAGATTAACAGAGATCAAGGGAGGGGGAGTGACTCAGCTGTACCTACATCATTATTCGCGAGGATGATAAAATCGTTTTTATCTTACACGTTTTCCGATTTTACTCAGTCAGCAAAAAAAACACACACACACACACATTTATTTTTACTAAGACCTTTCATTTTTATTGTGTAGGTACAATAATCATCTGGAATTCTCCTAGTCGTCTTGCGATTTACCCCGTATAAAAGTCATAAAGCAACGATGCCGTGTGCGATGATGAAAGGGTTGTTATACGGTTTTATGCGCTCATCCACTCCACCACCGGTGATTTTAACTGTACACCGAAGTAAGCAAGTATAAACTTCCCGGACGGTAATCCCTGGGCGGCTATAAAGCATACGTTTGTGTTTTGTATACAGGGTGTTTCATATAAACCGGCCACAGGTGCAGGGTGATTGGTACTCGGGACACAAGGTTATGTGGCTGGTGGCCAAATCAATAATGTCCATTTTGATCTATTGTGATTTCATAAGCCAAGTCAGTAACTCAATATCGAAACAAATCCTTTGGGTTTTACCTCCTACCAACTGATTCTGTCAAATAACAAGAACATAAAATCTGGTAATTCTGGAATTTTTTATACAAATATTGATTTTATATAAATATTTTAACGTTACTCTGCAATATCATTCTCGCATGGAGTATGTAAATATTTCTAGAGACAATTTAGTTAATAGTTAATTATTCTGCAATCACATAATAACGCCCATATGGGCGGTTTGCTGATAGAAGTAGGCTGTACTGAACATTAATTGTAAAATGTCTAGGAACCCAAGTCCGCCAACCATCCTGTACATCCGAAGCCGGATCGTTTAGTTTTTATACCTCTCCCAAGGGAATATGGTACATAACAACCAACCTAACGTGCAGTACATTTTGCACAATCACTGCCGAAATTCTACCATTTAAGACAGTTTGCTTCTTTAAATCTACCGCCATGTCTAGTGTAGGACTAGTTTCTTCGCAATAATAATGGCACAAATGAAATTGGCTAGCAGTTTTCTAATTAAAACTATACCGAAGATATTAAACAGGGAAAATTTTTGGCGCCTTATAAGTGATCTTGACTACTGTGTAGTTTTTCTTTTTGCCTAAAGCAGCAACTTTGAGACTTGTGCATTTACACACTTATAGTAAACCGTAAAGAAAATTGTCAGCTATTCAGATTCATATAATAAAACAAAGCCGATAGAGATTCATGTAGAACACTATGCCGGTACATACATAACCGTAGTGCGAGAAATGAATAATACATAGTGTGGGCTTTTGTTTAAATTGTCCACGAGAGTTGTACATAATTTATACGGTTTTGTCGCAACTCCATTAAAATTGACTCAAGCATATAATTGACACTTGTCATAGCAAGTAAAACGACACTTAACACCCTTGTATAATTTATAATTAATGTATGCACAGACTTCAAATAAAACGAGTCGAACATTAGACAATTCGCTAAAACAAAGTAAACGCACTAACAAAGTCACTGTACGAGGCAAACCTGGGGACTTGTTTCATATTTTTAAAAACAAATATCTTACTATATACTAACCATAGACTTGCATCTGTTTTATTGTCGACACAAACATCTACTAAGGTAATTTCTAAGCTGATAATACTGTATTAGACCATTCGGGTTTATTTAAAAATTAGCAAATACTTACATTGAGTCGACCACGCACCAAAGTGAATATCCGTTCATTTTTTTTATTTTGACCTCTCTTGTAATAGTTTATCCGGGAAAACATTTATGACCGATAAGGAGGCACATATTTCTATATAGACTATCCGAGTAAACTGTTTCCATGAATAATACATAAGCAACTCGCCAAAAAAAATCCATATATATATACATAGGTTATTACTGATAAAAAATCAACTCTAGATAATAATAAAAGTAATACCGTTATTATAGCGTAATGAGATATTACATTGGCCCGACGTTCTACCGGATACATCACATAAACTTTCTGTTATTTTAGTACTACATAGTGTTATTTAAAATATAAGTATAGTTGTATTATGGATAATCGAAAATATCATTTTGTCCAGCAAACACATCTTACATACAAGTCTTATAGTATAATAAATCTTAATATTTACCAATGACATCTCAAAAATATGGTATGGCGTTTAAACAAATTGTTTTTTTTAAATAAAAAAAGTAATTACTATATTATTGTAGATGATGTCACTAGGGCTGTTAGAGGAAAAATGTTATATTATGTTTGTTTTTGTCCTCGGTACGTCTCCAACCTTAGCCTTCCCAAATATCTACGTGTCAGCTCAATCCAAAAACTAGCCCACTTATACTACCTATATAAGTATTCTCCATTACAAACTAACAAAAATCCTCTTATCTCTCAAATGCACTCCTTCGATGATTCCAGGAAGTCCCATTAGAAGATTAAAAATAAAATAGCCAAGAAACGCATTAAACAGATGAACGAGTCATTATAAAATGAATACCAAATTAAAATTCAAAGGTGCTACAGAGTTGCAATTGTAATTTTTTTTAGACTTGCATTTTCACAATGTTTTCTTTTTTTGTAGTTTTGACTTGAGGGCTAATCGAACAAACGGTTAGGTATATTGTAAATAAATAAAAAAAAGCATATTTTTTTTTACACATACAAATGACATATATATTTACATATACATTATTGAATGACGGTCCGAGATAAAAATTGAGCGTCGCTTTGTAAACCGTATGAAAACGGTTGTTTTCATAATAAATTTAACCCTTAAACAAATCTACCATTAATCATTCTTTTTTTAAAGCTGTTGCATCGCACAAATGGGAATTAATACATCACACAACAATAATGTGATGTATACGGGCGTTATGTATTAATATTATTATATACTACTGCTGCTATTCGTATGAAATGGGTAGGCTTTTTTGTGATTATGCTTTTTGTGTTGCTGCGGTGTATACAATATGAATTGCATACTATTTTTCATTTGGATAAATTGAATTTCAAACATTCACTCTGTTTTCAACAATATGTTGCACCGATTTAAAACAACGGATAAGTAAATAAATATATTTTTTTATACCTTTCATTCGTTTATAATATTGTTTTTCCGTCCGGAAACCGAATCGAGTTGTATATTATAATATTCGAATAACTATTGTGTTTGTATTGGATATGAGATTTTTACCATCTAAGCCCTGTGTGGACTGTTTATTTGGTCAAATAAAAAACAATAGAACGTTTGCCTCGACAAAACAAGGTCGTTAAACAGTTTCTAAAAAAAAATATATAATTTAAATGCAACAAACGTCGGTATAAGTCAACGTTAAAAACGTTGTTGACTCTCTGTGAGTGTTCTCTACTATTCTACTATTTCCATAGAGCTGGTTATCTGTTTAAGTATGTATTATACGGTATGCGCGCTCGTCTGTGTTGTACACTATATAACAAAAAAACCATATTTATTTACATTTTAACGTCATAGTTAGGTTTTAGTACGTTTTTTTGAATCTGTCAACAGTGTATATACAGGGTGATTTATTTTATCGTGGGCCATAACGTGGAAACATGAAAATTTGTGGAAAATTGAGATCACATTTAATGGCACATGATAAAAAAAATCACTCTATAGTGTTATATAATAGAAATTTAGAAATATATTTTCCCATTATTTAAAATTAAAAGAAAATATTAACAACTTAATCGATACATTTTCAAGCGGAATATAAAAAAAAATCAATTTTTCAAGTATGTATTTGCATTTATTATGTATTAATGCGTCATTTTAAGTGTTTGCTAAAATATGTAAAATCTGGTTTCTAAGGTGTTTTACTTTTTTATTTAATTGTGTGTTTTGTGTATTCATAACTTTAATTTCAGATAATTCGTTTAAAAATAGCATAGGCGATTAACAAATCATAAAAATAATTTTTTTCCCCGTACAGGCACACCGAAGACGGTTTCCATTGGTGTTTTTCTAATGAAATGGCCATTAAAGAGGTTATCAATAATTTTAGCAAGTTCATAAGTTTAAAGGTAATACAAGAGAAACACATTTTTTGTTTACATCCTTAAGTTAATTTAATATTACACTATATTTAACATTATCAATAATATTATGTTCAACGGTTTGTCTGATAAATTTAGACAATAGTTGTGTTAGCCTACTCGACTCTTATTAATTAGTTTAGAGTCGTACCTAGTGGCCAAACGTGTGTATATTATACAGACAATGAATCCCAAATAAAAACCGTTATTGTTGGAACGGTTCACTATATAGTATGGTAAATTATCGGTCTATTATCCTGTATACCGGCGGCCTTTATTACTTTGCCACAAACACTGCCCAATGGTTTTAATGTCAAATATCGTGACCATTGTCCTGTGTAAAGGATAAGACTTAACGGGTATTTTTACATAGTATTCGGCGCCAAATAAATAACGATTCATTGACAATATAACCGCGTTGACAATATTATAATTCAGATAAGAGTGATGAATATTATCTGCGCCAGAATACAATATAGGTACATATTTTTATGTATAGTAGCATTATAAAATGCCAAAAAAACTTTAATAACATCACAATGATTATAGTAGACAATTTAAAACAATATATATATATATATATTATTCAGTATACTCTGTAGTCTGACTTAAATATACTTTTGTTTAATGCGTTAATATTTACCTATTGTCAACTGTGAACACAAAATCCCAACCGAATAAAATTACATATGTCTTATTGGAATATTATTATTAATTGGCTGCTGTTACAAGATTTTACAACGAATGTAGCAAAATACACCCGCCGTCAACCTCCACGATCAAGCCTTTGTCTTTGATATTTTATTTTAATTAAAGCAACTTCTCCTAAAGTCTTTTCCCGGAATGGTTTACCTTTTATTGCACCATAAAACTAAACTTTGGTTTGTGTGTAGTAACATATTGTTATCGTTTTTATTCTCGGTCGAATAACTCGGTTAGGCTGTTATTCCACTATAATTTGTATGAGCTCCTTATATTATTTTCCTTATAATTATATTACATAATATTATCCTATTTATGAGTATTTTGTCTTACTTTGTCTAACGACTAAGTCAATTTTTCTGAGCAGTTATAATGTTATATTATAATATGGGTTTTTTTGAGTTTTTACTCGACTTTACTTGATAAGTAAAACTGGCACGTAAAAAAGCAATAATATGTTTCATATATAAGCACATTAATCATAATATAGTGTGTGTGTGTACAATAATTTGTTTACATAATATTACCCGTCGAAATTTGTTAAATAAATTCGTGATAAGTTGCAACGTCAATAAATAATTTGCTCTAGTCGAGGCTAATTTGTATTGCTTCAAGACCGACCTCGGTTTTTCTTGACTCGGTTGAAAGTTTCCAACAAGCAGAGCATGTACATAATATATAATTTTGAGACTTTCAGCACATACCCTAGGTACTATTATGGTTTATTGAATATACTGAACATGAAATTCATGGTTAAAACATTGGCTGAAAATAAAGCAATAATAATAATCAAGTACAAAAAAAACCAGAATGATCCATCTACTTTAATTTATCACTTAGATTCCGTGGAATATTGAGAGTGACAAGAGTTATACGTTTTTTTCGTTCTAAAACTAATCTGACGGATAGCAGCGAAATTAATTAAAAGGCACTTCCGCAAAGAACCGTTAAATCGTCATTGGTCTTTTGAGATCGGCACAGGTACTTGAGGGTGATTGATAAGATTTGTTTTTATCAGAACGTGATCGTTCCGTCTAAGTGAAACGGATAATTATTTTTTTTATTTTTCAAATAATTATTATCCATCAAACAACAGTGTAAAAAGTAATTCGCTTAGAAAAATCCGCTGAAGAGCAAAATATTAAAAAAATTGTGCAATATATATAAAAACCGTCTAATTTTCTTTTCATTCTAGAAAAAAAACAAATATTTTAAATGACAGTTAAAGACTAAATGGTAGCCATAGTTAAAACAAGATTATATTTGGATAAATTAATTAAATTTGAGTATTATTGTGGAGCACGGTCAAATTAAATTGTACAAAGTTCAGTTTGGAAAAAAATTAATAAATAAAAATAATACAGACTACTTTAAGCAGAATACAAAAAAATAAGTAAAATGTACATATTTGGAAAATTCTTAGATTTTGTATAAAATATTCATTAAGTTAAAATTGTAAAGTTAAATACAGTAAAATATATCAGCTGGAATTGCCAAATTGTAATGCTGTGCCTGAATTATTTCAAAAATGAAAAGTTCAAAAGTTTTATATTGGAATTATTGGAATATATTTCATTATGAACGTTCAAAACAAAATTTTTAATAACGGCAAAATGTTGCGTTACACATTGAATTTGTTCGAATGTTGCATTTTAATGAAATTAAATTCATCCGAATTCACTTGTTTACTTACTTTAAAGTCGGTCAACAGTCGAGGGTCGCTTTTGTGTTTTTATAAGATAAAATAAAACTTACGAATCAATAGCAAATGAAAGCCTCAACGGAGTTGTACAGAGTATAATATTATTTATTATTCGAATAATCATTTTCTTATCTCATCTAAAGATTGTGTTTCACAAAAACTATCTATTTAATTTATTCCTAAGTATAACTGTGTCAACATACAATATTATAAATTAGGCGCATCTAAATTAATAGTGTCAATATTTTGTACTATGCACAAGTTAATTTCAGAATATTATATACAAGGTGATGGATATTCTGATGTATGACACTACTGGCTAAGTCATACAGGAAACAAACGCAGAGATATACATGATTGTTAACACACTGGTTTTGAATTATTATTTTTATGTATTCTTAACGATTATGTTAGTTGCCGAGTTGAGGACACGCAGATTTACCGTCGATAAAATCACAGAGAAAATATTATGTTAAAGCTGACTGAAAAAATATAATAACATTTTTTAAAAATTTGTTTACTATAAAAAGCCACCGCCGACGAGTTTGTCGTCTAATGGCGTTTTCTATATTATATATATGAGTTTACAAAATAATTTCCGGTTCGACTTACCGTGTGACGTATTTAAGTGTGCAAGAGATTGCCGGAAACCGACCAGCACCTGCGTCGGGTACCCTGCAAGACGTTTTACTTCCGGCACACCGTCAGCGGCAGAAGTCAAAAGACAGTATTATCCAGTTACCTTGATAAAATTCTTATTAGTTGGGCTATAAAAGTCTCACATGACCGATTTGACTACAAGAATTTGACAAATTAAAAAACACACACTCTCTCTCAAAAAAAAAAAACTAGCTCTAAAAGAAAGTGTTACTATTAAATAGTTTAAACAATAATCATTCAAATCGAATATGGTTATCTTCGATAATTTATACTTTAAATTATGTAAACAACAAGGTCTGTAGTAATAAACATTTTTAAAAAAACGTTATTTGTAAAGATCAAATAAACAAGAGGAGTCAATCTAAAAATGTGAAAATCTAAAAGTCAAAAAAATGTGCATTCTAAAAATTCGGAAAAGCACATCTATACGTGTCCAGGGTCGGTCCCGGGGGATTTGTACACATATTCGGCCAAAGCCTAAAGAAAATTAATAATTATAAACCTTAAGCAACGAGCCAATTGGGCTTTTTTGCATTTCTTTTTTTTTACTGTACTCGTTTAGGTTAGGTAGGTATAGGTACGTCAGACGTTTAAAATAATAATTAACCTTTTCACAAAAAGATGTTGCGGTGTGTTAAAAAAAAACGTTTCCAAGTAGGTAGTTCTTTGTTTTAATCTCAAAAAAAGGTTTATTCAAAACATTGACTTGATATTGAAAAAAAGACTCAAAACCAAACAATTCAGATAATCTAAAAACATCAAAGCAACAGGTGCCATTGATGTTCTGTCGTTTGAGTCCACGTGGTTCGAGACAGATAAGACTAAGTTAGGTCACCGAACACATGACAGGGGGCCGGAGGGGGGTGGAAGGGGGGGAGGGTATGACCGACAGAGGACGGTGTGGGCAAGCGCCTAAGGTGTTTGTGTTTGGTCGCATCACTCACTTCTGGCGCTGTGCGACAACACGGTCAGGAGCTCTTTGAACGCCGTCTTGTCGGCGGTGTCGTTGAAGCTCTTGTACTCGGGCTTCTGTCCCAGGGCCGAGTACACAGCCGACTGGGTGAAATGGCATTTGGAATGTCCCATCAGCGAGTTGACGCCGTGGTTGTAGTACAGCAGCCCGGCCACATTCCAGCCGAACACGTGCAGTATGTGCCGGAGCGCCTCGCCGACCAGCTTGTACGAGCCCATCATCCGGGTGAGCGTCGGGTACTCTTCGCGGTAGTAGAAGCTCTCGGCCTGGGCGCCAGCCGTCAGCACCGGCATCTTCCACACGCCGGCGTACCTGGCCACGGGGGCGATCACGTAGTCGCACACCGGTCCCAGGAAAGCGTCTGAAACACATTCAAACACACACACAATACCGGTTAGTAATAACACAAAATGTATATGAGGCGCTCAAAAGCCAAACTGATTAACTCCATAAAATTACATTTTTCAGGACAGGCAGTTAAAGTTATTCGAAACAATGTATGTAAGTACAATGTACTTAGAGCACTCTAGTGGTGAAATAGATCCTCTCTCTCTCCCGTGACATTTTTTTTTTTGGTAGGAAAGTTTTCCGTATTTCCCGATATAAACTAACAAGTATCCACATTACAAACGGATACGGGATACATAGACACATGTATACGTCTTTATATTCAAGTATAGGACCCTGGAACTTTTTGGTACTTTTCTTGTCTCTTATCTCTAATAATTAATCTTTAATATCTTATATTTTATCTCTAATTTATTATCTTAGAGATAATATGTCTATTTTATGTCTCTATATCTCTATTTATCTCTAATCTCTTTCCCTAATATATTATCTGTTAACCATTATTTCTATTTTTATCTCATCTCTTTTCTCTAATATATTATCTCTAATGTATTTTCTTTAATCTATTCTCTCTAATCCATTATCTTTATTAACATATATATGTTATAAGGCTGGAAATCAAGTACAAAAAATTGTCCAAAAGTTAACGCCGGATGTCACACTCAGCGGCTGCGGAGATTAGAGATAAGATATTGAAATAAGAAATATAATAGAGATAATGAATTAAAGATAATAGATTAGAATTTAAATGTCTCTTATCTCTAATAATTTAACTCTTATCTTAAATGTATTTTTATCTCTTATCTCTTTTTTCTAATCTATTATCTCTAATATATTATCTCTAATTCATTATCTTTTTTTATATCTAATCTCTTTCCTTTAATACGTTAACTCTATTTTTATCCCTAATCTCTTTTCTATAATCCATTATCTCTAATCTCCAGATTTCACCCTCCGCCGCCGAGTGTGAAATCCAGTGTTATGTTTCAGACAAACTTTTAGAATGACCCCCAGCGATAAATTTTATTCATGTTAAAATACAACTATGGAGTAATTTATCTTGGCCACTGAAAATTATACACTTTATTGTAATCCAGCCATGCTTATTATTCGCAATTTGAAAAAAGTGCAGTTAATCGGTTTGGCATTGGAACCCTGTGCAGCAACCCCCTCGGACGAGCCCACGTTGTGTGAGTGAACAGTCAACGGGTATTTGAAAAATAGTGTTATTATAATATTGTAATTACTATATATGAGTAACTGTGGCAATACATTAACACAGATTGTTTGGATCAACCCTAATCGTATCTACCCCAATACTAAAACTACATTTTTAATTAAATTATTGTCATTAAGTACAATGCTTTTATCGATTTTTCCACTTTTACCATCATCTGATCCGCGTCGAAGCGTTTATTCGAATGTGATTTTATCACTTTATAATAATTTATTGTTACCAAATTATTAATACAACTCTTGCACATCTACTTTTTTTTTCATTCAGACAAACCCAAACTTAATAAACAGCATTTGATTTCGTCACTTGTTCTTCTTCCCGGGAAGATAAAACAAAAGGTAATGATTACAAGAAGAAGTATAGTTTTGAAACGGACAATAAGTTTATTAAGGAACAGTACACTATCATAAATACTGTGTTTTATACTTAGAAAAAATCGTTTAAAATATACAACAAAAACGACACTAAGATCAGATAAAGTTGAAAAAAGGCATACTTGAAAGCAAAAATAATTTGTTTTAAAAAGTTCATCCTATAACATAATGATAATTACCCTAGTAATAGAAAATAAATACAAAAACTTAGGCAATTCTAAAGTTTTTAAACAACGTTGTTTGCTCCAAATTAGTCACAGAAGTTTTATTTTATTTGCGTTTTAAAACGTTTATGAACTACACTAATGAGATACAATTCCTTTTTATCATAATTATATTAATGTATAGATTTAAAAAAAAAATGTCCTTTTACTAACGAAATGTCCCTCACCGGAGCTGTACCTTTTAATTTAAAAGTAAATGTTTGCAAAGGACTTCATAAAACCTTTTTAACATAAAAGACAAAGTTTTTAATAAAAAAAAACTAACCTAGTTATTATTTTCTTTAATACTAATTATATGAAATTTTATACATTTAAACGATTTTGTCATTCTTCATAAAAGTAAATTTTCTTAATTCTCAATAAGAATCATTGAACTATAATGACATTTTACGTCAAGCCATATTATGATTATATTATATATAAAATGAAAGTTCTATTAAAATTAAAAAACGCGTGCATTTTTTTTTTTATAAAGAAAACCCAAATATAAATAGTATAATAATTTCTAAAAATAATGTGTAAAACGTCACCACGAATTTTGTGTTATGAAAATTGAGCATATTATAATATACATATATATATATGGCAATAGTTTCCTACCATGTTGAACTATAATTTATACTGATATGTTACACATTTAGTTTATAATGGTATAGTAAACACAGCATGTGTGCATTGAACATAATATATGTCAAAACTAAGTTTGATAAAAAGTTTGACAAATGCGTATAACGATGAAAAACTGGTGTTGATCAAGATTGATGGTCGGTTAAACAGCAAAAAACATTTTTTTTACATTAACTCAAACTTCTGAAATTGCTCACTACATTTTCAGTTTATGCGATAATTATTATAAAGTATTTGAAATTCATGCGAATAGAAGAAAACGGCTGACGGATATCGTGGATAGAAATAAGAACATACCTACTCAGATTAATATACACAGATGATACTCTATAGAACATACTTGGACAACTATTACAAATTAATATAAATACACTAATCAAATGTCGGTGGAAACGTTAACGGTATTAAAGACTGAGCACGCAAATGCGACATACGGTCGGAATGGAAACCGTCTGTTTAAGTGAAAAAAAAAAAAATTTATTTGTGGTCACATCCGCGTTGAATGACTTGGGCATGTGGACACGAACATTAACCACTTATAAAAAACACATTGTTGTATATACAGCACAGCATTACTTTGTCAAGACCGTTAACACCTCGAACGCCGGTGTTGTGGCGCCTTAAGTGTTTTTTACTTGACCGTTTACATGAACAATAGTAGTTAAAAAAAACATAATATATTATAGGGTCATTTTTCACATAATAATAATTAACACACATCTATGCGGTTAGTCATAACCCGCTTGGGAATCTCCGGTGTACTTATCTTATGAGCCGTGTAAAAATCACCCCCCCCCCCCATCTATGTCACCTAAGTATCGTTAGCAAATTGTGATAGAAACATCACTCAAAAAACTTAATGAGTTGTGAACAAAATACAATTCCAATAAGAATTTGCATATCCCTGCCCGGCTGTCGTTGTCTACTTCTATTTTATTTTTTTTTGTTAATAGGACTCGTCGAATATCAATTTTATTAATCATTTATTTTTTTTATATTACGTATACAATGTACAATGTGTACGTATACAATGTGTCATTGTAAATCCACAATGACACATGATGAGTAGAGCTTTGACTATACTATATTAAACTTCGGCTATTCAGCGTTACTATTATTATTAAGCCACCTGAAATAATAATATATGATAATACTGTCAACAGGGAGGGGGGAGGAGTTTAATGCTATCCGCCGACGTGTATTTACCTTTCAAACTAAATATTTAGTTTCGACTTTGCTCGGTGCCACAAATCGCTAGGCTTTTTCGAAAACTTTTTTCATTTCGTCTTATATCATTTATGAAAAAATCTAAGGTTTATTAATTAATACCGCGGTCCACTGGAAAACTTTTCAACAACCACTGGGACGTCGCGAAAGACTTTTTTTAATTTCAAATTAGACCAACTTAATAACTAATAAGGAAACGTTAACGTCAAACAAATTTTACGGTTCAGCTGAGAAGGTATTATTATTATTTATTTTTGACATGGATATGTTTTATGAAGGAAGAGTATGGAGGTGAATTAATAGAGATAGTATATTAGAGATAAGATATTAGTGATACTAGATTGCAGGACAGTAAAGTATGTAAGTTTACCTATATTTTAATAATTACTTAGACCGATTAAATGTTTTCAATTTGATACGATTATGTAATAAATATGTGTTATTAAATTATGCGACATGTTATTTTTGATTTGCAGTAGCTCACACCCTTCCCTGTGATGTATTTATGGGGAGAGGGGGAGAATATGGGGAATAGATCCTCTCTCTCCCTTGACCTTTTTTTTTGGTAGTTAAGTTTTCCGTATTTCCCAATATAAACTAACGAGTATCCACACTATAAGCGTATTCATAGTCTTAGTCCATTTATGAAAATTTTAGAGTATAGCAAAAACAAAGTTAGTGAAATCCTCTCTCTCTTACATAAGAACAAAACAAATCACATTAAGTGCTATTCTAATAAAAAATGTATTTATTGACAATCTATTAACATAAATAAAAAAAATTAATGGCATATATTGAAACATTTTTTTTCATAAATGGATTATTACCGTTCTTCCCCTGTGCCCTTCATATGTCTTTATATTTAAGTAAGTATAAGACCCTGAAACTTTTTGGTACTTTTCTTATCTCTTATCTCTAATAATTTAACTCTTATCTTTAATCTATTATCTCTAATATATTATCTCTAATCTAGTATCCCTAATCTATTGTCTCTATTTTTATCCCTTTTCTCTAATCTCTTTTTTCTAATCTATTTTCTCTAATACATTAACTCTATTTTTATCTCTAATCTCCTTTCTGTAACCTATTATTTTTTTCTATAACATTAACTCTATTTTTATCTCCCGTCTCCTTCCTCCGCCGCCGCCGAATGTGACGTCAGAGAGTGACATCCAGCGTTACGTTTCGAACAATCTTTTAGAATGGCCCTCCAACGATAAAACTTATACATGTTCATATTATATTCAAGGGGAGGGATCTATCCCCATAATATCCCACTGTACTGTTTTTTTTTAATTTTATTTTAAATAACCTTACCGCTCCTGGTGTGCAGTTCGAACGCCGCCAACGGGCCGTCGGTGGACGAACAATTGCCGTTCCTGTACTCGATGTGTATCTTCCAGTTGGGCAGCTTGCCGTTGGGCTGGGCGATGGCCTGCGTGGCCAGGTCCACTGACGGCAGAATGGCGCCCAACGTCTCCTGGTTATCGTTCTTGTACGCCTTGGCCGGCGCTATGACCGCGAACCGGACCTCGCCCGGTACCGCCGCCGCGGCCGCAGCCGCCGTCAATCCGCCGGCCACCAACAACACGGTGGTCAGCCATTGCCACGGGCCCATCGTTGTCCGCCGGTTGCGGTCGCGCCGTCAGTGGCTGATGTCCGATCCGTACACGACGGCCGACAGAGCCAACGGGCAGTGGCCGTTGGTCGCGTACATTCTGAGAACCATTCCGGTCCCGCGGGTCGTCCGCGTCTAAACAAAACAAACAATACGTGCGTTGTTAGTCGACCGGAATAATTATAATCGTCGTCCCGAGTACATAATAATATTATTGTTTTCGTTGTTGTCGATTTTCGAAATGGTTTTGGCCGCGTGTCGTTAATATTTATTTCTGTAACGTATTTGGTCGGCAAAATATGTTCTAGTAGCTGTTTTAAACAAACCAAATAACTTAAAGGTGAAATATTGTTAAGGTTTTAAAGTTATTTTTCTCCAAAGATGTATATATATATATATAATAAAGTTGATTGCTAAGTGTACATGCCGCCAATAGAGATAACTGAAGTTACCGTTTGCTGCCATCTTTGTGGGGATTAGAACATTATCAAATAAAAATATTATATTTATAACAATAATTATAAGTTAAGTTGAAACACAGAATACATATATTATATATATATATTATTTTATATACGCATAAATCCCACAAAAATGGCGGACGACGACTTCCATTCTTATCCCTAGTTAACAATCTAGTTTATTATATAATTGTCTTTTTCTCCAAGTTATGGCGAAAATTTGATAAAAAGTTACTTTCGCAGAAGTCATTTTTAGGCTTATCTATTCGACGGATTTTCATATATATATATATATATATGTATATTTATATAAAGCTATTTTCTTTATAGTTTTTGAGTCATATTTTTAAAAAAATAAGGGGTTAACTATTTCAGTATATATATATATATATATATATATATATATATATATATTTAGATTTTTTTTCAGTTTTCACGGTGTAAGCAATGTTGGGATTGGTATGAGAATTTCTGAAATGGAAGAAATGTGTATGATGTAGTCGTTTGTCATGGACAACAGTAGTATAGTATACAACACATAATATGTTTTTCAAAACACACAAGGCTCTCCCTTGTGTCTGCCAAAACAAATCATCACGTCCTTCACACTTTGTCTTAGTCCGGTGACCTAAACTCAGGAAATAAATCAGCCTATGGCTGTTAGGTGGGTATATGTACCTATACAAGAAGGTTAATAATGCGTAGCCGATAAATGAAATACTCATGTCAACGTCGACGAGGGACCAAACAAGCCTTATAGTGACACAAGTAAGGAACAAAATATATTATGTACATCCTACACACAACAATAAGGTGATGCGGATAAGGCGAAATGATGGTTGACGATTTTTATCCCGGTGTCGTCCTGTAATATTGTTATTATTATTTAAAAAAAATAAAATGTAATAAAAAAACGCAACAAACTCGACGCCTTTGAGCAATGATCGTTTGAGAAACCGTAAACGACCATGCTATGTCTTAGTCATTTATAGTGTTGTTGTGAAAACGAAAACTTCTCTCCAGAGTGCTTCGAGATGATCTAGCCGACTTATATACATAGATAAATTGTATTTCCAACTAGTGGCTAGGCTATATTAGCATTTCATACATGTTCGACTTGTGTTATTTTATTTCCATGTGCCAACAGCTGTTGTTGTGTACGTGTAGCCAGTCATTCATTTTTAAATAATTATTTAACTTTGACAAACTGAGGGTAGTTTAGGGTTTTAGGACAAACTAGAGCACAGACGGTTGAACTTGAACAGACTATGTTGATAATTGAATGATAATTAATGATCTAACGCATTAAAGGAAAGATCCAAGCGCACGATATGGGTGAATGTGTATTGATAAAATACAAGATCAAAGGAGTGTTTTAACTAAATACGGATACATCTAAAAAAGGTTAGTTTATATACTTACTCATCCTGGTAATTAGACAAATTAGTTAAAATGTAGACCTAATTAAATTAACTGCAAAATACAAATATACAAAAAAAAAATAGAATGTCAAATAATAAGAATCGTACAAAAAAATAGGAAAACATTATAAAATTACATATTTGTATTTGTAATTTATACATTAAATATATTGTAATTTAAACCAATAACTACATGAAAAAAAAAATAAACACATTAAGCAGTGAATATTTTAAAAACTGGTTAAACGTATAATATCTTTATGTAGTTTTTCTTTTCCATATAAAAAATCATATGTTAACATTTTTTTTTTCAGTAACCTTAACTGGAGCAAGAGAAAGTATTTTCTTATCTGATGAACAATACATTCGACGGACATTTCATAGCAAAAGGGTCGATGAAATTACCCTTTCATAGCTATGTACATTTATTAACTATTAACACTTTCCATTTTCTCCTCGTTAAAAAAAAACAGCTGAGCTACTAAGAAAATCAGTTCAGAAAATCGACTAAGTCGAACAAAATTATTTGAAATAAAAATTAGGTAAAGTAAATGGTAATGTACAGTTTTAATCGAATCACTGTGTATTTATTGGGTACAAAATAATAATTGATGACTTTCAACTGAGTATCTTTTTACTACTGGCTACTTTGAATTTGCAATCAACAAGTGGTCCTACTATATTAATGCCGCTTTATCGAGTGCTTTGATTCTATTCGCCCAAATTAAACAAAAATATAACAATTAGAGAAGCGCCAAACGTTTCAGTAGCTGCTGATGAACAAGGAAAAGCACTTTACCCCGGCTCTAACGCAATATTGTCTTGTATTGGCCACCCGTGCTAATTAAGGGTGGTGAAGTTCCAAAGGGGGGTTGTTTTTGCTAAAAAAAGTGGTTTCAAAGAAAATTATGTTTGTTATTCGGCTAACGACCACGATGATGACTTCATTAAAGATATGACATTTTTTTTTTTTTAACAAAATGAATGTCATAGAACTGCAGTGGCCATGTAATTAGCTACCACAGCGGGGTACTGAATAAGACTGAGATAAAATCTTGTATCAAACACAGCGGCTTGCATAATTTACCTATTGTTCTAGGAGCAGCCGTTTTTCGATTACTGATAATTTGATAACAATAACTCAATTCGGTCAGCGCAGCACCGGTCACTGATTAAAACAAACTGATTCACCGTTTGGAGATTGCTTACTACTAAACATGCTAATCGTCCAAATAATATTATAACGAGGTATATTTGTTTATTATGGTCTACCGTGGAGCAATTATTATTTTAATTAATGCGGATGCTTTGCGATACGGGTACAGCGTGTACCTGCTGGTACACATCAATTATGTGTCCTTGATTAGAGCCGGTCCTTGACTAATAAATAACACAGCTATTCGAAATTTCAATATTCTACATTAAGATACGACTCAATCGCCGTCGGCGGAATTGGCAGTTTTACGAACATCACAAACAACTACATATTTACAAGTTAGAAAATAAACACCTAAACAAACATTGAATCGTGGACATGTTATCTCTTATCATTTGTCTATTATTACTAGTCTCTAATCTCTTATCACACATATGTTATCTCTTATCAAGTAAAAGTGAAAGCGTAACGTCATGAAAATGGCGAGTTCGGTCAGTTATTGGGTTGAAGAATGATTTTTTAAAAAAATAAAATGTCCATATTTTCGTTTATAGCACTCTGTTGAAAATAAAATCCGCGTTCGTTGAAGAGTCAAAAAAGTTGGAGGTTCTTAAAAAGAAGAATCTGGTTATTTTATCCGCTCCAAGGAAAAACATTGAATCGTGGGTATTTTATCTCTATTATTACTTATCTCTTATAATTCATCTTATTTCACTTCTCTCTTATCATTTGAACATTATCACTTATTTATAATATCTTATCTCTTATCACGTGAAAGAAAAAATGCAAAGCGAGAAAATGGCGACATAAAAGTACTTGTATCTAGCGCAATAACATAATATCCATGTTAACATGCTCAAGTATAAGACAAGGCGTGTAAAATGTTGTATGCCAACAACAAATCCGACTTAGCCGCCGAAATGGGTTTATTCCTTTGCATAATATTATTGTGCGTGTGTTACTACAATGCACGCAAATACATAATACTAATAATAAAACGTTGCATCGACCGAGAAACGTTTTAGACAATAAGAGAATATCGTGTTTACACTGGCTTCTGACCCTCCGAAATCCGGCCAGATTAAAACCGTTTTACAAAATATATTCCACAATATAATACATAATAATATGCAACCTATTGTTGTATAATAATATTCCATAAATCTGTTAGGCGCGAAACATAAACAACTTCCTATTTCACCAGCAAATTATACTTAAATAATTTTTAATTTTGAAATATTTCCATTCCAACAGAGCTGTACTTAAATACCTAAGCGTTTCAACGAAAAGGTTGTCAACCTTTTGAATGTAATTACTATACATTATAGTGATGGTTTTATAAACTAGGTTTTTATCAAATAAAACCCCACCACGTTGGGTTGGTTACTTAGTGTCGTTGACGTGGCTGATATTTGTAATAAACCTCAGCAATCAAGACCGCATTTTGAAATAAGGTACAAACGGCACCTTCGGCAAACAGCTCTTCTAAGGTTTATAATTATAATATTTAAATTCGACCGCAAATGCGGTACCGGCGGGATTAAAACAGTAGCTGGTAATTAAGGTGTTGCCGAAATTAGTAAGAAAAAAAATCCGGAAAATATTTTTAAAGACAATATTATAACGAGCATTAGCCGTTTACTGTACAGTACTATATGGAAATCTCTTTAACGAATATACTACTCTGCTAAGACTTTAACCATTTTAAAAGATTAAAGAGGCGACGACAGGAACGTACAAGACCTCTTTCTTGACATCACAAATTAATTACCTGGTAAAAATCTGCCTTCGACTGCATGCTAAATGACACATACGCAAAGTATGTACAAATTCAAGTAATTGATGTAGACACATGAACACACGCCTTTTTTACCGTGCAATGTATGACACTAAACAACATAAAATAGAACATCTGAAGCTATACAAGACAAAGTTGGCAAGACAAAATTGTATACAATTTAAAATAACCGGCTAAAAAACAAATTGAGAATAATTGCATTAGTCATTGGCAATAGTCGAGTAACTCACAATAACATCATGATGGTGTATATTATACTTACAGCCGGTTTCACCAACTATTGTTAAATACACTCTTAA